GGTGGCGGCAGAGACCGCGGCAGGCTCCGGCAGCTCCGGCAGCTCCGGTGTCGCCGGGACGGGCTCGTCGGGACGGTCCAGCACCAGCGTTTGGTCGTGTTGGGTGTTGGTGTGATGGCCGGGACAGCCGCCTGCTCCCTGCCCCGAGCGGGGAGGGTTCCCCTGCAGTTTGCTGTAGTTGTTCCTTCTGGCAGCCCGACACGGCCCCAGTTTCCTCTATGCTGCTCTCGGTTGCACCACACAATTCCGGCGTTTTTCCAAGAGATAAACACAAGTGGCTTCGTGTTCTTGATAGCAGCTGGGCGTTGGAGCTGGTTTGCCGCCCACCTTTGTGCCATAGTCTCAGCATGGGTGACTGAATTCTACCACCGTTCTGGTAAAAGTGCTGGATTTTCTTATCCAGAGTTCCATTGATCCTGGCTATAAATAGCAGTCTAGTGGGAAAGAGTCTCTGTTGCCTGTTTAAATAAAAATCCATGTAGGTTGGGACCTGTCTGAGTGCTCCACCACAGTCATAAGAGAGTGAGGCAGGAGAATTTTTGTACTGGGATTCCCATGTACTTTCTTAGGGAAAGAAGCATCTTCACTGCTCAGTGCAGATTTTGGTGGGTTCTGCTGCCTTTTGGGTGTGGTTGTCTCCCTGGTGCTGAGACTTCAGTGTGCACTGGGGATGTGTCGTAAGTGAAGTGATTTGTGGGTGCAGGCTTTGGAACAAGTATTTGTAATATTTTTCCATACGTTAACAGAGTAGAACAGAAGTATCTGGGCCTATTAATGGCAGAGCCTTAGGACATTACCTGATCTCGTTTTTGTAGGATGGAAGATTATGATGATCTCATGCTAATCTGGACGCCTCAAAGTGAGACTCTGAAGGAAACCTATGGTGAATATCTCCTTGTTGATCTCATAGAACGTGAAGGTGAAGAAAATCAGGCAGCTGTTTGTGAGGTCAGTCCTCCATGAGCTCCAGTTTTGTCTGATTGTAGCCTTAGTGATGTCCTGTGTGACAGCTCACTTCAGCTGAGGGAATAAAATCAGCAGCTCTCCTGTGGAAAGTAGAATTCTTCCTCTATAGCCACACAGTGCCCCTGTCAGTGTAGTTTGTGTCTGTTCTCAGGAGTGATGTTTCCAGTTCAGAAATGAAGCAGCAATTCCCAGTTCTTGTGCAGACTATTTTCAAGTAATTTGGACAGACCATCTTGATGAAGCCATGTTGTCGTTTTGGACATTTGCGTTATAGGTGACCTCTTTTCATTCCCAGTGGAAGGTAATACTGCGTATGAGAAGGCAGTAATCCTTTCACAGTTTAAAAGTCCTGTAGATAATTTTTCTTTCTCTTGGTTCAAACAGTTTTCTGCTGAAATGAAGACAAAGCCAGGAATTAATTTAAATAAGAAAGGAGTGGTAATAGTTAGCCTGCTGAAAATTCCTGTTAAGATTTTCATGTGTTGGTAATTGTGCATGGCAGTGCAAGCTGATGGGCGATATAACCTCCTTAATTCCTGAAGTCTGCTTTTTGTGGCAAATCATTTTGTAAGATTGCAACATGTAATCACTGCCATTGGGAGCCAAATGGGAAACAATGCACCATTAGTGTAATGGCACATTGCAGAGGGCCATTGCTATAAATAATACATTGCAGTGGCACGTTCAGAGCTGGATGTGAGACCAGCAAAAGGTGTTCCAGGCCCTCAGTTTATCCGAGCTGCCACGGCGGGTTGGGAAGGCACCTCCGTGCAAACCGTGATGGATGCCAACTTTCCTTGTGGAGAAGGAAGCTGGCAGCCTCTTTTTGCACATATGGTAGATGGATTGGTTAATCAGCCTCTGCTGAGCCTTGGGCCTGAAATTACACAGCAGCCAGGCAACCGCGGCGCCCCGGCTTTGTTGGTTACGCAAACAAGGCAAACAAACAATCACTTGTTGTTTGAGGGCAGAAAAATTAAACGTCACACTTTTTAAAGTCTTTATTGAAGTGCTGATGGCCTGATAAAACAGCTGTACAAATCCAGCCTTTGAGTTTTCATTAGGTTTATAAAGGCTTTCATTATGTGTATCGAGGAGGAAAGATAATGTGTTTCACCAGAAAGTTGCATACACTACTAAAAATTTAAGAGCTTCCTTCTTCTAGACTTGTCTCAGGTTAAAGCCAGAAGCTCTCCAGCATGCCAGTTCTCCCTGGTTCCAGTGTGTGTGTCTTGCTGAGGGCTGCAGCTTGCTGAGAACTCCAGCAGCAATCAGGCATCCAGTCTGCCATTGGTGCCAGCATTGCAGGGATCCCATTCATGTTTGCCAGGGCATTTGGGTTTTAAGACTAGCTCATGGACTTTTTCTGAGCACAGAAATATTTGGAGCTTGAAAGTGCTGCAAATAATACATATTGCATTAGGTACTCCCTATATTATACATAATTAATTTCTTGAATTGTTAATTACTTAGGAGAATAAAATACACTCTTCAGTTTGAGCCAAATTTGGGTCCAAATCAGTGTCCAGTAATGAGTCAACTATTACAGCTGACTGGATGCAGGTTCTACTTCAGCTGCACTGTAACTTTAAACACAATGATCTGTTTTTGGAAGTATGTTGTGTATTTGCCGTAACAAATGTTTTACTGAAACTCCAGGTCATTATTTACCCCAGATATCTAAATCTAATACTCTTGCAAGTCATAGCTAAAAAAAATAATTAGAACATCTATTGTAGGGGTCCTAATACATATGTTAAAAAGAAAAAATAAAAGAGGAGCTTTGACTTTTGCTGAAATAGCTCCTTTATAGTTTTCCATTATGCACAGATGGAACATAAAAGTTGATATTTCAGAAGTTTTTTGTTTCCTTTTTTTTTGTCCTGATGTAGAATGACAGGTTTTTCTGACATGGCTTTTATCTTCCAGGTTGATGGCACTGCTGTAGGATTCATGAGCTTATGTTCTCACGTGAATATTTCCTTGTTTCAAGAGTGTTTTGACTTGGGGCCTTTCCATGGACTCTGTAAACCACATCCAGGGGATATTCTCAAAGTGCCACGGAAGCCAAGCGTTCAAGGAGGTATCTCTATTCTAAAGTGCTAAATAAATTCAAGGTGTGTTTGTGTCTAGCTTCTGAGTAGATTCTGCAGGGGGTTGGAAAAGGATATGTAGGTTTACTAGCAAGAAAACACAAATTAACATACCTGTTTTTGAAGTAGGATGCCTGGTGTTTTTTAATTGAGGAGGGGAATTTTGATAGCCCTGGTCTCTGACTCAGAAGCAATTGTTGTCTGTGGGGAGTTGGCCTGTACCAGCTGTGGGATGAATGTGGTTCAGGTTTCAGAAAGCTGTGGCGTGAGGTACACTGTCTATCAGATACAGTTGTGCTGTTAAAGGAAGGATGTGATTGTGGAATCTAGTGGTGAGGTGAGGTCTGTCAGTAGCTGAGCAGCTGGCTAACTGTGCCTGTTATGTTGTCCTGTTGACTCATGTCATCTTTTTTCCTTGTGGTTCAGCTTCTGCTCTTTGCTTATTGTTTGCAGTCTCCTGGGTTACAAGATTTTGGGAGATCAGGGACTGTCTCTTTATTCTGCTTTTATATTGAGCGTGATACAGCAACACATGTGCAAGCCGCCTTCCTGCGAGTGATAAAAACCAGCAGCACAGATATGTCACCTGTTTGTAGAGCACAAGTGTCATGTGAATGATTTACAGTTGTTGTCTTTAGTTTTCAGTGTCAAAGGGCTTTCTTTTTGTGCAGAAGGGCAACAATTTGCTATCTAGTAATTATCAGTAGCAGAAAAAAAACCCTCCACCATTAGGTTGTTACATATCTGCTTTTCTGAACACAAAGCAGCAGACAAAAAAGGCAACCGGGGAGCTGCAGGGCTGTCACCAGCTGGTACCTTGAAGCTGTCAGTCACAGAGCAGAAAAGGGAGAGAAACAGGTCTCGTAGCTGCTCCCGTGGACTTCCCCTCCCCTGCAAGGAAGCATCTTGCACATAGGAGATGGAGGAAGCTGCCTGTCTCCTGTTGAACCCTGGGCTCCTGCAGCTCCAGGAGTATTTGTTCAGAAGAGGTGACAGACATGGGCAGGAGGAGGAATGAGACTGAAGAGGGAGAGAGATGGCTCTGGCCCGAGCCCAGTCCTGGGCTGTCTGCTCTGGGTCACCCTGCTGGAGCAGGGGATGGGCAGGGTGACTGACCACCAGGGCTCTCTGCCAGCCTTACCCATCCCAGGGCTGTTCCTGCTTCTGGTGTCCTCTCTCCTTCTGCAGAGACTGCAAGCTGTAGGTCTGTTTTGTGACAAATTCTGTGCTGCTGAGCTTTTCAGGGAGTATGTGGTTCCAGGGTTTGAGAATACAGATGTTACATGTTTTTTATCATTTGGGAGATCTATAGGACTCGTTTTAAGTGTTAAAATTTAGCATGAGCAGCTGTTCTGTTCAGTTTCTTGAGAATCTGGCATCTGGGTGCTTTTTATAAATGTTTTAATCAGCATGGTTAGCAGTCCTGTGAATCTGTCTCCCTTCTTTTCTCTCTTCATTTAAAAACTTATTAGTTTTGGTGGTAGTTGCAGTCCTGTGGGTTGCCTTCAGTAAGACTTTTTAAAGTAGTAGTATCTCTTTATTTGGAATGACAAGGGCAGCTCTGGGGAAAAATAAGTCTTTGTAGACTTTTAGGTAGCTTGAGTGCAAATCATTAATGATCTTGGACACATGAGGAGAAACTTGAGTGTCATAAGATGAGAGCCTGACTCTGGTGCCATTCCTAGAGAGAGTGACTAGAAACCTAATATCAAAGTTGTCTCTTTGCTGCTCAGGCACATTAGTTCTGTTATCACTGAATTGTAGTTAAAATTTTTGTTGTAGCTTTGCACATTTTGGAATAGAAGAGTTGCATCCCAGTAGTCCAATGTTAAGCCTTTCCAACATAAGGGCCAGCCCACGTCCTTGAAATCTGTTGTGGTGTTAGTCCCATTTAGTTTGTGTTTGTGGATATTGCAAAGCTTTGCCTGTTCATGAAGGCTGCTTTAGGGACTGCATTGAAAACTTGCTGCTGGACCGTGCCCTGCTGGGAGGGCAGAGCAGGTTCAGTGACCTGACATCAATACAAGATCTGGACTTGGCTTTATGGAGTCTGAAGGCTGGAAATTTTAAAATGCAAGCTGCATTTCTTTGTAATTTTATATTCCTACATATAAAAAGGTTATTTTTTCAAGCTCTTTAGCTTTTAAGTAGAGACCACAGGTTGATATTTTTTTCCTTTCAAAATGTAATGCTGAATAATAATGAAAGAGTGTACAACAGTCTGTACTGATATGCCACTTAGGTTTCAGGGTAATTACAGTAATTTGGTTGTTACTCTATATGGTGTCATGAATTAGTTGCTAGAAAACATGATGCAGTGGGAATGATTCAAGGGCTTTTCATCAGGCCTCATGGTGAACTGGCTTCTTGATCCTGCTGACTGTACCTCAGCTAACAACCCAGCAATCACAGAATTATTTTAATTTTCTTTGTTTGTGGTCTTTACGTGATTTAGTGACAATATTGCAGTTCTTCATATCACTCGTGTCTGTAAACAGCAATGCAGCCATGTCTGACAGGAGTGGATGGCAGAGGATTTGCATTTTACTATAAAGTCAGAAACAACATATCAATATTTACATGACAACAGGAGACTTGTATTAATTAACTTCTGACACCTGCAAGGCTGTTGGTAATGAGAAATGGAGCTGGTTAATCAAGATGACATTTGATCATTTCTGTGAAGGCTCACATCTGTGATACCCCCAGAGAACCCGTGATTCCTACCCCCCGCATTTCTTCTTGCCCTGCACATTGCATCTGCACTCTTTTATTGGCAGAGAAACAAATTTTGACGTAAGTTTTTTTTTTTTAAATACTTCTGGCTAAATTATTTTAAACTTCGGAGGTATTTTTTATAAAAAGCGTCCATTACTGTGTGAGGAAATGCTCCTGTCTGTGAATGTAGCTTACATGGGTGTCCCAAGGCAAAGTTCTGAGGGAGAAGGGATGAATTCTGTTGTTTTCTGAAGCTTATTTTGTATTTTTCTTGGAACCCAGAAACCTTGACTTCCTTAATGTTACTGGATCTTCCAAATGCAAGGATGTCCTTGCTTGATGCGTTTTCTTCAGCAGCAACACCTATACCTTAAGTGTTCAATGTGTAAAATTTATAAAGGAATTATAACCCTGATTTCTTGTCTCTTACTGCACAGTAAGAGCTCTGGCTTGACTGGGATTTAACCTGTATTTCAGTTCTTTTAGGAGAACTAATCTGAGAATGAAGAGCCCTTGCTTGTCCTTGTAATGACCAGAAAGCAAATTAGCAGCACCCGGGGTTTAAGATTCCAGTCAATACACTGACTCCTGTTTCTCAGTTCAGACAGGGTAAAGATTTGGCATAGGGATACACACAAGTTAGGAATGGCTTCCAAACTGTCTTGTTCAGGTCTTATTTTAGAACCAATTCCCTGGATTTTTTTTTTTTTTGCTTTTAAATCAATTAGTCTAATGAAGTTCCAGTCAAGTAACCCAAGGAGGTTCTGTTTTAACTGTGGTTGTTAAAATGAAACCTTTTGGTAGAGGTAGCCTGGCCCACTCCAGCTGTTGCTGTGGTTCTGAGGGTAAAGCTAATGTTATAAAACCTTATGCACTTTCTCTTTTACTGTACTCAGATAAAGATGAAAGCGACCAAACAAGTCCAAAGGCAGAGCCTGTTTGTTCTCAGGACTTGGAACACGTTCCTGGTGCAGATGCAGCTGTGCAGGTACCACTGCTGCCCCCAGCAGTGCCGATGGCTCTCAGAGCTGATGTGGAGCAAGGCTGGCAGGGATGAGGACGAGCAAGCACCGCTGAGATCCCCTCCTGTGGGATGTGGGCTGGAAGCTGCTCTGCCTGGGGTCTGGAGGGAGGGGGTCAGAGTTAATGGTCAGGGTGAATTTGCCCATCCAGTTCCCCACGAACAGCCAGCAGGGTGGGAAGAAAAGGAAAGGATAGGGCTTAACTAAGGAAAAACTTTGTCAAGTGCTGTAAGTGAGCCCTCCCTGTTATTGTTGCAGAAGGACGGAGCAGTGGCCCTTTCCCAGACTGAAGTGCCGGTGGGTGATATCAGCAACACAGGCTCTGAGGGCTCAGCAGCACCTCTCCTGGAGACTGAGGAGGGGGATTTACACCCCGTGTACAGAGGAGACCCAAATGTCTTCTGTATCCGTCTGTTCTTTATCAATGAGAAGTATGAAACCAGGTAAGTATAGAGGAAGAGTCACTGCTTTGCCATTAATAACCATTTTCAAGGTTATGTCTTCAGGACAAGTCAGAAAGTGACAGCACCTGCAGTGGTTAGGTGGGATTTTTTGCTGACCTCTTTTTTGTCTCCCTCTTTGACTTTCAGTAATACTGTTTCAACCTCCACTTTCAGCTTCCTGGCTCTGAGAGATCTATGGGGGCAAAATGTCAAGAATTAATTTTTGTTGGAAAAAATGTGGGCAAAAGCTGCTTCTTCCTTCTATGGAGATACTCATTCTGAATCTGGCTAGCTGCAAGAGGACCCACATGTTACAGTAGTTCTCATCTCACTGCATGGGGCAATAAAGCTGTTCCTAGCTCTACAGCTAAATGTTCCCATTCTAAACACTGTCTCCAGCCACTGAAAGAAATTGTTTTATTTTCTAGAGTCGTCTACAGTTGGAGGAGACAAAGGGATTTTCTCTTAACACAATTGCTGCTACTGACCTTGCACTCTTAGATCCTGGTGGATTAGAATAGGGCTATAAATGGGGTTTAGACTTTTCTTTTTTTCCAAAATTTCTCTCCATGCTTGAAGAGCAAACTTGTATTCGACCACATCATCAGAAACTTCTCCAGGAACTTTTTTTTCCTTTTCAATCTGCCTTGTGTTAGAAAGGAAGATGCAGAATAGATGAAGCAGATGAGCATACCCAGGATCTTCCATGCTTTCAAACCCATGTCATGTCTGCAGACATCGGGCATCAGGAGTAAGGATTTGATGGATAAGTTGAACATGTGTAGTACAGTTTGAAAAAACATTTGTCTACTTGTAGTAGTAGTAGTCATTGGTGAGTAGCCACTTCTGAACTCTCTGGCTTAAAGGATGTGTAAGAGTAAACTTCACTGAGAAGAAAAATGAGAATTCCTTGAAAACTGGTTCTATTTATTGAGCTGTTTCTTGATTAAGGAGGGTACCTACCCAAGGGGATTGAACACTGAATCTGCTGCAAATGCAAATATCCAAAGTTACCAAAACAAAGCAAAGACATTGCCTTTTGTGTACATGTTTCCCAAGTGATATACCCAGTAACATAGCTGAAGTTTATTAAGAACTAGTTTAATTAATGAAATGCAGGAAGTCAACCCAGAAGATCTGTGGTGCAGTTATGAACATTGGCCAACTAATGTCTGGTAACAATTGCACTGCAGAGAGGCTCTTCTGGAACAGTTAATTGAGGGACAATCTAGTGTAAAAAATCAAGCAAGATAATTATTGCAGAATAACAAAGCTTTATTTTAAAATATCAGAGAAGTGAGGGGCTTGCTCTGGAATGACTCCATTATACTGAAACAGCAGTTCAGAGCTGTAATAGACATTTACGTCAGGAAATAATCTGACTGTAGACTTCTTGAGTTCTCTGCTCATAGTTTCCTGCTCAGGATAAGGATCTGTCCCTTTTTTGCCCCCTTCTGAGCTCTGTGCTTTATTTGTTGTTTCTGTTCAAGACATTTCTCACTGCATTTATCATTCAATGTTGTGCTCCCAGTCTTTACCTGGAGATATCTGCAGAGCAGTATGGATTCCAAGATGGGTATCTGGAGGAGATAGCATTCCTGTCTGAAGGTTTTTCCTAAGATTACCTCATGCAGAGTTGAGGAATCTGTAGATCTTGGTGTTTTCGAACATTTTGCTTGTATGCTTGTCTGGCTTGCCTTTGCTTGATTCACCTGCCTGTAGAAGAAGTATTAGCAAAGCAAATACCTGTAGAGGAGGGCATGAGGTGATACTGGCTGCAGCCTGGAATCTCGTCCTGAGGGAGCTCCTGCTGGCCTTGCACAGCACTGACCCAGAAATAGCAGCTGGCCTGAAGTTGTAGGTGTGATTGCATCTCAGCCCTGAGGGAGGTTTGCTCCTTGGGACTTGTTACCCCCTAGAGCTGCTAAATGCTTCCATCTCCTAAAACCCAGACCTGATACATGGCTTGATAGTGCACTGAGAGTGAAATGTGAAGGAACTGAACTGCTGGCTTATCTGTTGATATCTGATACTTTTCTAAGCCCCCTGAAAAGTCTCCCACCTCAATTCTTGTGTTCCTTGCTGCCAGCAAGGTCCTGGATACCAGAGAGAAAATTAAAACACAATATAGTTGCAATGGCATTTTCCTTTCCCCTGCTTAGCTATTCTGTTGACTAGTCTTAGTTATGTATTATATAGGTGAATAAATTATACCCCAATCCTGATCTGTACTTGCAGCTTTAAGTTTACATTCAAGCACAGATATTGCAATTAGAAATTATTTCTCTTTTAAGTAATATTATTAAAGAGGCAATTACAGTGAGCTTAATTACAGTTCTGAAATGAGGAGAGGATTTATCAGTATTTATAGGTAACATATATCTGTATGAATTTCTTCAAAAGATACATCTTGTGTGGTGGAAAAGTGTTTTATGAAACTTCAGCTTGACTGGGTTTTGAGCTCTTTGATATCCTTACACATGGGAGAAACAGCAGGGCTTTGGTGAGATTTCTTAGGTCTTTTTAAACTGAAATGTCACAATTTGCTGTCACCATGGAAAAGAGACTGGGATAGCTCTAAGTCAGTGGGTGAGAAGTGGAAGGAAGTGTTCAAAACCAATTCCAAGTATTGATGTTCCTGTTAGTCTGTCAGAGCACATTGGGCAGGTTTTCCTGAGTGCACAGTCACAGAGCCCTTGGTGCTGGCTGAAAATACTGTGGAACATAGCAACAACTGTTTGTAACCTGAAGTAATATTTGCTGTATACTAATGCTGCTGTGATAGGCCAGGAATGGCTTCTGAAGAGGCTGGAGTCAACAACATGAGATCCAATGTTTTGTTTGTTCCTCTCCCCTGCCCTTTTAGTGAGGAGCTTATGTATTATGTCAAACATCCTGGTTATTCTTGTTAATAATGATGCTTTCAGCACTAGAAGTCAGAAATTGCTGTGCAGCATGCATCATCAGCAGTTGATTGTTGGTGATCTAATGGGATGTTCTGATCTGCTCTGAATAAATGTTCCTGCACTTGTAGGGATGTCAGTGTGACAGTGTATCAGATCATTCTGGTATGTGCTTTATTTACCAATATTTGCTCTTGGTTGCAGGTCACTGGATTTTTTGCAGTATGCTTTCAGCGTTTTCCCAGTGAGTATAACAGAAGTTGGAATTGTTTTGTGTGGTGGGACAGCAGTGCAGCTGGCAGCCAGGGGATGTGGGTCTGCTGCTCCAGTGAGTCTGTCCCAGGTGTGCTGGGCCTGGTTACCCTGGGCTGAGCTGCTCCCCTCCTTGGCTGCTTCTGGGCTGCATGGAATGCGTACCTAAGTCCTCTGTTTGTCCTAGAATCCTGGAAAGGTTTGGGCTGGAAGGGAACTTTAAGATCATCTCGTTCTACCCCTGCTGTAGGCAGGACACCTTCCACTAGACCAGGTTCCTCTGAGCCTTGTCCAACCTGGCCTTGGATACTTCCAGTAATGGAGCAGCCACAGCTGCTCTGGGCAACCTGTGCCAGAGCCTTTCCACCCTCACAGGGAAGGATTTTTTCATACCGTGTAATCTAAACCTACTCTCTGTCAGTGTGAAGGCATTTCCCTGGCACTAGGTGCTCTTGTAGTTTCCCTAGTTGATAAAATGCTTCAAATTTCTTTAAAACCATGGACAGATCCAGACTGTACCTAAATTAAAAACAAAGATGGAATCACCAGACATGCTAAGGAAGGTTCATCCCGTAGTTTGCTTAAAATGAAGCCATTTCAGAGCTGTCAGTTCCTTGTGGTGCCCAGGGAGAGCAGTGCTTGGAGGTGTGCAGTGTAAGCCCGTGTTCTGGCCTTGGGCAAAGCTTAGAGAATGCTTTTACTGTCTGCCAATGTCTTTCAGGACAGAGACTTGTGTGTCATCCTGGTGCCACATCACGTCCCAGAGTTCCCTCTGCTCCAGAGCTTTGTTCGGGCTGTCCCTTCCTGCACTTCCAGGCTGGGTCGGGAGCTGTACGTGTTCCACCGGGCGGGATTGCTCACGTGAGTCGTGCTTTGGGACAGCCCTGCTGTGGGACACACCTGCCAGCCCCCGCAGGGCATGTCCTCTCAGGGACACCCAGGCACAGTGAGAGGATCCATTTGGGATTTGTGGGTACAGCTAGGGGAGAGAAGATGGACATCGGTACAGACTAGCAGCTCCAAGTTCCCTGGTTGTAGGCCAAGGCCGACAGAGAAATGTGGTGCTGTGTTTGGCCTTGGGGATGCAGGTCAGGCTGTGTGACACTGGCACCTGATAGCCTGGTGTCAGCTTAATTCTTGGAAATATGCTATAGCTTTCTGAAGAGAACTGTAGTTGTGTGTTTCTGGGACATACAGATCACAGCAGGAACGTCATTGAGTATCTGTTCTATAAATTTCTATTTTACTTTTGGTGTTGAATAATTTATTTTACGCCTTCAGTTTCTGCAATGCTCTGGACACTTCTGTAGGCTGAGATATCAATGAACTGGAACACCAAACCTTTCTTGCTGTGACTTCTGTTAGGTGGAATGAGTGCTTTATCAAGCCTATTCTGGCCCAAACACCAAGCTTAAATTGTGGCATAGTTAGAGATTTTCCTTTTTTTGGTTTTGCTCCTAATGTACCTAAATACAGTGTGGTTTTAGCAAAATACTTCTAGGTTTAATTGTGTACCTGAACACCTTTGGTGGTACACAAGTACTTCATGCAGGAACTGGCCAGCCACTCTTGGACCTAGGCAGAAGCTTTTTGCCCTGGGGTAAAACTGCTGCTTCTGGGTCCTGAGTAAAAATCCAGCTGGATGGAGAGAGAGCTGCTGGAGTAGTTCCTGGTAATCTCAGGTCCAGCTGCTCAGTAATCCTCCAGCAGGGGTGGGAGTCATATGTCCTCTTGCAATTTTGGGCAAAATTCAAGTTGTTATCAAGGCTCTTTAAAAAAAAAAGTTACCATCCTGATTACATTGTGCATGTTCCAAATGACACCAGTCCTCTCATAAAAACAAAATAGGATCATCAGTAGCGTTTTCCTAATCCACCTGCAGCTTTGCAGGAAAGTATGGCAAAATAGCTGCTCACTGAGGCTCAGGGTCAGAAAAGCTTTGGGAGAAACCAGAGTAAGCTTTTGGAAAGTTTCTGCAGAACAAAACCCACAGGGTGCAACAGCAGATACTCTCTTGGAAATAACCAAAATCTGTGAAAGTGAAAGATCAACACATTGTACTTGCACCTATGGCTTTCAAAAGCATGGAAGTGAAAAGGAAGTCACAGAAAATGGACTAAAAGAAAAACAGGGTAAGAAGAGGGGAATACGAAGACATGAAAGGGCAAAGTCAGAAGAGGCACAGGCACAAAATGAGCTCCTGATTAGTACAGGTAGTAAAAGGAATAAGAAAGAGTGTTAAGTACACAAAAAGCAAGAGTGCAGCAAATGGAACTGTGAGTCTGCTACTTAACAGTGCAGGAGAAAAAAATAACAGATGACAAGGCATAGGCTGAGGTTCTTAATGGGTACTTTGCCTCAATTTTCACTAAAAAGCATAATAATAATAATAGTGTCCTTGTCTCTGAGCAGTCAAAGGACTTGAGCATCTAGAATGAGTTAATTCATTGCTGGGAGAGAAACGAGTACAGACCTTGGATATCTTTCCTTCTCCTCCATACTCCCAGTGGAGCAGGTGGATCTGCTTATTTAAAAACAGTGGCAGTTTCACCTTTTCACATGTTCTGTTTTAGTCACGTTTGAGATGCAGGTCCCTGCAGGCACAGCTGCCTTCTGGGCAGGGGTGGGCTGGGGAGGGCACGCTCCCACCGTGGCAGGGCGAGCCGCAGTCCTCAGCACTGCTGGCTCTTGCGATGGGCAGGGGAAACGTGCCAGAAGCTGCGGAGGCTCGGCTGGTGCTCGCTTACAAGGCCAGCATTAGTTGGTAATTCAGTAATCAAATGTGTGCTTTTCAGCACTCAGAAATGGTCAGTGAATTCAGCTGTGAAATTTCTCATGCCGGAATCTCAGGAAATTTGTGTTTTTTAAGGTATGGTGCTATTCATTAAACCCGTATTCCACAAGATATTCCACAGGATGCCTCTCAGTGTGACTGAGGCTGAAGAATAGCACATCCACTTTTAAATTGAAAGCGAGAAGAACGGGAATAAAGAAATTATACTACGTGAATCACAACTTTTTATCTGTGGGTGGAGGAACTCGTTTCTTGGAACTGAAGTTTTTGTTCAGCTTCTCAAACAGCACTCCACAAGTGCTGGTTGCATGAGCTGTGTGTAACCAGGAAGGGGTTGCTGCCTTTGAAAGACACTGGGAGAGCTCCTCAGCTCTGTAGACAGTCGGTGTGAAGTGAATTTTCTTCCTACCCAGTAGGTAGGATGTTTGCTGACAGTCTGTAAATGAGCCAAGTGCCAGGTCACTGCTGTCTGTGGGTAAGGTGTTCCATGTGTTCCAGGTGTACCAGGCATTCTGGTACTACGTCACTGCTGTGTCAGTACTGACAAGCACTCCACGCTTAGCACAGGCACTGCAGTCATGGAAGTTTATCCTCATGTGTTACTGCTTGAGGCACCGATGCTTAAAGCAACAATTAGTACTTTGTTCTCAAAGAAATTGATGTTCCTGCTTTACTTGGTACCATGACTGCTGGCTCCTTTTTATTTTTCTCTGTCCTTTTCTCATTTTCCTCTTGCCTTTCCCTGTTTTTATCTTTTTTCCTCATGTGCCACAGTGTTCAGTCACAGATTCCATGTTCATTTTATGGTTCTTAGCCTCCTTTTATTGCTGACTTTTACTCATTTGAAGACAGTTGATACCTGGGCTCATAGATTGGGCTGGTTGTTTAACAGCAGATAAAGCAGGATTCTGGAGTTGTCTCAAGTAGATGCTCTGATTTTTGCTATTACCATGCAATAAGTTCATATCTGCCTTTGGAACAAGTGTCATTTAGCAATCAGTTACAATTTCTGAACAGCGTGGTCGGTACTTGTGAAGGGTGTGTTGTCTTGAGTTTGACAATTGTCCTTATTTTGTCACAGAGTCAACTTTAATATTTTTTTTTTTTTGTCCTTTTTTAGGTCATTTAATGTAAGAAAAGCAACAACCAGTGACTTACAGGGTGTCAAAATACTCGTTGAAACTCTTAGCTTGAGTGAAAAGATATGGAACGACTCAAAGATATTCACTGAGGCTCGCAGGGATCCAGTGAGTATTTGTTGCTAGCATGTGTTCAAGTTCTGCCCTAAGATCAGGACTGAAGCCAGGGCTGCAGCGGTGGCTGAGCTTGTAGCACTCCTGCAGCAGCTGGAGCCCAGCTGAAGTGTCAGTGAGGAAAGGTCTGTGTGGTCCAGAGTCCAGCCACAACCTGGCTCAAACAGCGCCCTGCTGGGGAGGGGGCTGCTTAAACTGGGATGGTGCCTGGGAGCTGCACTGGGAGGAGAGTGTTTTAACTGGGACTCTGTGGTGGAATGCTGTTACCATTAGAAAGAGATTCTGCTGGAACAGGAAATGTGCATCTGTTGCCTTTACCTTGCAGGATGGGATGCCAGTACAGGCTTTTGTAGCAGAAGTTTTGGATCAAATCGTTGGTGTTTCTGTCACTAGGGATGAAATGGTAAATTCACTTTGTGTTCCGTGAGCTCTGTGGTGCTTGGTCCTCACACTAAGGCTGAGTTTTGTGCTTGGCACTGTATGTGTGCCTAACAAAGTGTCTAGTTTATGCCCACTGGATTATTTCTCTGCTCATAGATAACGATTGACACACAGATAAAAAAAAAATGATCCTGTTACTTTCAAGGAGCTGCTGCTATGTCCTGGAAGTTTTCCTCCTGCTCTTGCTTGTTCTTTAGCACAAAGACATTCTGCCTCTAAATAGGTGTTTAATCACCTCTTTGCCTTCTACTTTCCAAGTCAATAAGCAGCTTTGTCACAAATCCTGCAAGGAGCAGTAATTCTTCTAGATTTGCTTTCATAACTTTTTTCCAACGGTAGAGTCTAAGTGATTGTGAATCATGCACTTGAAAACAAAAGCCTATTCCTTGCTGGAGTAAAAAAAGACAAGTAAACATTCTCCAAGTCTTACTTTTGTGGCATTCTTCTAGGACTGAAAAGGTGGATTTTAGGTTGTTCAGAGTTCTAATGCTGAGTTTTCACAATAGAACAGTCACTCCCGAGAGTAATTATCTTGATTATACTAAGAGTTAAGAGGATAGATTGAGTGAATAAATGCACAAAAATATCAGCTTATCACTTCAGCAGGGAAGACTTGTTGGAGGGCATTTCTTAGACAGCTCTGCTCTGTGGAATTCCTTTTTTCAGCTGGAGTTTGGTGAGAGGGACAGCCTGGGCTTCTGTGCCTTGAACACAGAAAAACAGGTGGGAGGTTTGTTCTTCCCCTTGAATGTCTGTTAACCTTTATCAGGCATTGTGGGGAAAGGGTCGGGTGTGCATTCTGTGTAAATAAGGGCAAGCTGTGAGGAGAGGTTTTGATACAATGAAAAGATTTTCGAGAAAAATCTGTTCAGTCAGTGCCCTTCAACTGAGGACAGCTCTCAAAGACACTTGATTTCAGTGTTCAGGTGTTGTTCCTTGACGGATGGAAAGTGACTCATTGGTTGGTATTTGCTAAAATCCTGTCAAGGTAGCTGCTGATCACTGCTGACTCACAAATTCCTAATTTTCCAGGATATTGAGTATATTAGATCACATTACAACATTGAGGAATTCATTCATTTTAATCACCACCAGCAAGAGGAACATGGACATCTTTGCCACTTTGTCTTGAATCCTGTATTTCATCACTACACAAAATACTTCCTAAAGGAGATTCTTCGCTTGGGTCACAAATCTTCTCTTTACTACCCTATTTATCCAGAATACGTGGAGGCCCAGGTAAGGAGAAAGTAATTCGTATTTCTTGTATCAAATGTTGCCACATTTTCTCGCTTTATTTTTTCTTTGCTTCCATGAAGGACTGCATACAGGGATTTTCTTGTCAGTCTGTAGCAAACTGTGCTTTTCTTCCTTCCTGACATATTCTGGACCCATGGACACAGCTCTTGCAAAGCAGGGCCAATCTGTGGTGTCCACCAGTGTCTTGAGGAAGTGTGCTGGGGAGCAGAGAGTGGAAGTGGCCTTGGTCTTAGCTCCTTTCCCAGCACAAGGGTCATGTAGCCCGAGTAAATGCAAGGGGGGATCATCCTGAACACCTCCAGGTGGCTTACAGAAACTCTTCCAGAGGGATTCAGGTACTCTAGGCTTTGTTTCACCGAAAGTCAGTGGGACCTGGGCACCTCATTGGCTTTTGGAGGGGAGCTGGTGTTCCTGCAAGTGTCACGGCAGAACCGTAAGAACTGAACTTCCAATGCAGAAAACCCATTTCTGAGAAGAATGTAACTTAGAAACACTCACATATGTGTTTTGTCATCAGTCTCACGTCAGAAAAGGGAACACAAGGTAGAGTTTCCAAGCCTGTGCAGCCATCTGAGGCTGCTGTGTGGCCTGGGCAATCACCTGGGCTGCTGGCACCACTGATGGAAACACACAGTGCATGGCGAGGGCAGTTCATCTGTCGGTCGTACCTGCCTGTCTCGAGACAGATGGAATTGTTCCCTGGAGACTGATCTCCAGCTCTGGCTTCTGCCTGGCAGGCTGGACTTGGGCACCTGGTGTTTAGATGGTGACTGAGATGGATTCTGTCCTTGGTGACCTGGGTGTTTTTGAAACCATCACTGGCTTTCACGTGTGAGCTCTTAACAGGTTAGACTTGGGTGCATTTGCAGAAGGATGTGTTTTCTTGTGCATTTTGTGGAGTTCTAAGTGTTCCTGTGAGGAACCAATGTTCCTGTGTAGCATTAGGCTCTCAGATTCTGAAGAGGAACTCACAAAAATGCAGTTCACTGTCACTGGATGGAAGAGAAGCGCAGTCTTACCAGTGGTTCCAGGTTTGACTGTTTCCAGGCTACCAGGCTAGGGTTACTCTAAGTTACTGTAGCTTATCTAATATTACTGTCTAATAAGTGGTAAGTATGATATTTTACAAAGTTCTCAACATAGTAATTCCAAGTTTTTAATATTTGTGGATGGAATGGTACTTGAGTGTAATTTAGTTTGCATCAATGTTCGTTCTGTATTTCCTCTAATCCTCTTCTTCCCTTTCATGTTGTAAGTTGTGCCAGAGCCAGTCATGCTGTAATAGACAGATACAGCTATTTCTAATGATCCAGGCTGCTCAGATGAGCATTAGGGTTTTGTTCATTTCAAATTTCTGCCAGTTTATTAACATTTATCACTTGGATGAACCAGACATTTCAGTCGGTATAGAATTTCTATATAAATTCACCTCTGTTGCTTGCCAGGCGAGCAAAGGTTAGCAGTGAGCAGATAACACAGCTTAATGAGGTCAAATCAAGCTGATTCATGATCACTATGGAGAAAAATATCCTCCTGGGGAAAATACTTGTGCTGAAAAATCCCATAAACCAAACCACTTGTTTATCTGTCATTCCCACAGAGATAGTAATGTAATTACTCTCATAATTATCTTCATTAGTGTCAGGAATTATCTGCAATTCATTCCTCTGCTCTGAGTATGTTTGTTTATTTGCTGATTTTTGTCTCAGATTTAGCCAACAGAGCTAAGAATTGTGTGTTTGCGAAGCCGTGCAGCAGACATCTGTGATGCACTGCTGACATTCTCTCTGCTGAAATATGGATTGCTGTCTTTCAGTTCCAGCGTCCCCGTGCCCATTCCCTGACATCTGCCCTTCATTACATGGCTCCCGTGCGGCCGAGACGACAGATTGTCTATCCTCTGCGAGAGCTTGGCGCGAGCGCTCCGTCGGAGCAGGTCTCCAAGGATCAGGTGGGTGACAGCGGCGGCAGCAGGCGGGAGGCACGCTGCCAGCTTCACAGGGCCTGGCAGATGGGCTGGCATTGCCCTCCCAGGGCTGCTCCTTAATTACAGCGGCCGCAGCCCGGCGCACGCGGCGCCCACCGGAGCAGAGCCCTTCCCGCTCCGCCACGGCCTCCAGCGCCTGGTCGGTGCTCTGCCTGCTGCTGAGCCCTTGCTCCTGCTGCCTTTGTTTAGGTGTCAAGCTCCACGAGTGGAAGAAAAGCAGTGTCGTGCTGCTGACTCTTTCCGTCGAGATTGCTTAAGTGCATTTTATTTTTCAGTCCCAAAGTCAGGTTTCTTCCATGCACGAGGTACCCTTAAAACACCAAGTGACTTAACAGCAAAGGAAAAGATTGTTTTCACTAGCAAACGGTTTTACTCGCAAAGAACTGGTGCGGCCTGGAGGTTCTAAATGAAAAGTGTCTTAAAATTTCATTTTTAAAATAACTTGCACTCGATTTTCTTCCATTTTTTAACGTAACTAAAATTTGATGTGAAGGTGATTCCTCAAAAGAGTAACTAGTGAAGCTGAAATATTAGGAAAAACACTATTAGTGATGGATTCTCTCAGTAGGTAGTTGTAATTTCATGGTGAAACATAATTAGGGAGCTTTATGTCTGTCTACTCACTTCCAGTTGGCTGAGATGGGCTTCCATATAATATTTTTAGTGCTGTCCTTTTCTCAGTTAGTCAGTAGGTTTTGGCACCTAAAACTCTTAATTAGGCAGCAGCTGGCAAAGCGAAGTCCAGAACATGTCTGAGGCTGTTGGTCTGGCTTTGGCTTTGTTCAACAACAGCCTTCCCTGCACATGCACATCCCTGCCTTTCTTTTCTCTGCAGAATGAACTCTGATGCTTTTCTTTAAACTGCTTCTTCAGCTTTAAAGTGATTGCGCTCTTCCTGAAAGAGCTCATCTTGGCATTTTTGTTGAAGCTGGAAAGTCACAGACTTCCTGTGTTTGAAAGATTTGCAAATCTTTTGTCTGCTTATGTTCATCCTGAGCTTCTCTGAGCTTCTCTGTAGGTACTGGTATAATGGTTTGAAATCTCAGATTCAAATTTCTACTTAACAGAACAGGTGAAATTTTTGCTAAGAAGTTTGGGGTTTTTGGAAAAACCCCAACTCAAGGCCAGGCGCTGTGTAAGTATCCATGCATCTGCCTCTGCATGAATTATAGATTTTTGACAGACTGTGCTCTATCAGAATGGACATCTGGCACTAAGTGCTGCGTGGTAACTTGAGGATAAAGCTAGTCTGCTGCTGCTGCTGGCTTCTCTGAAATGCCAAGAACTTGAAACCATGTAAAGCTAAATTGACTCTTGTGTTGCGTGAAAGAAGCGACCTTTGGCCACCATACGTTGGGAAGCTGTGTAACACAAGGAGCAGCCTGCCACGGGGAGCTGAGTGTACTCCTGAGTAAAGAGGTGCTGCTGCTTTTAGACCTTAGGCTGCAGCCAGGCACAAGGCACTTGCCCTCACTCTGCTCAGATGCCTTGAAAAGGAAGATTGATCCTCATCAGTAATCTGGTACTACCCTGCCAAATCTTGTCGTGACGTTACAAATAAACTGAGGTGTATTTTATAAATTAATATGACCAAGTGTCAGTATTATCTATTATCTTTCTGCCTTTTTGTAGTGATTAAAAGGCTTCTCAGACCTACTGTAAACAGTAAGGTGCAATCTGTGAGGCAGAGAACAACCTGTCCCACCAAGGAGACAAATGTTCTAGCTCTGCAGAACAGAAAGGCTGAGAACTGTCACCTTACGAAATACAGTGACTCAAAGTGAAACACATTTTGGTTGTAGAAGATGCTAAAGGGCTGGGAAGTGAAGGAAAAAGGACTTGGGAGAACAATGTTGAGAGGAAAGTGTGGAGAAGAGAGGGAGAAAGGTGAAAGGCAGCAAAGAGTCTGGGGTAGGAATTAGTGGGAAGATGTCTGAGGCCAGCACCTGCAGAGGAGTAAGGAGAAAATGTCTCCTATCATCTTTGCTTTGGTGGTTTTAAACAAGATCAGGGCAGGGTCATGTAAGATGTTTAGATTGGGCAAGCAGGGATTCCAAGCATTTGAGACCATTCTTCATTTCTTTATCCCGTGTCTCTATCCCTGCTCACCAAGCTGGTTTCGACCGAGGGGGCTTTGCCCTCTCCTATTTGGAAGCAGCTCCTCCAGGGGTGAGTCCGTGCCCGCTTTGTTCCCGTGAGCTGGAGGGCACCTTATCACTGTGATTGCTGCTTTAGAGTGCTCTGCAGTGGTGGCAGGATTTGTCACATGAACTACCAGATGAGGATTGTAAATGCAAGTTGATTTCAGAAATGTAAAATTTTCGCTGATTGCCTGCTCTAATTGCTTGCTTGAGTATCTGTTGCTTGTAATTGAGATAATTGTGGTGGTATTCTTGCTTTGATACCCACAAGATGCCCCTTGATATCTAGTAATCAACAAATCAACATCTGCCTCTCATCTATTGCTTTTTCAGCTGCTTTCCTCTTATTCCAGCCCTTCTGGAGCTCTTGCTCCCCTTTTCTAGCTGCAGAGTGTCTTTTTTCCAAAGAAGAGCTTGGGGCTGAGCAGCTCAGCCATTCTGTGGGGGCACAGCTCCTGGTTTGTGTGTGGATGTCTGTGGGCTGTCAGCGTCTCTGTGTCTCAGCGAGTGTGGGTGTCTCCTTCAGTCTGTGTCTCCCCAGTACATTCCAGCCTGCTTAGAGCATGAAGGGAATTCACCCACAGATACAGACCCAGGGCACACAAGGAGGCTTTCCTGCTTTCTTCTTCCAAAGGCAGAAGAGAAACGGGCAATCTAACCCACAGAAGCTTTGCTCTCAGCTAATTCCTGGGCACTGTTGGTCCATCTGTGCTGGAGAGGTGCTTTTCCTGCAGGTCTGGATCAGCTGTTACAGACAGATGAGCACAAGGTGTGGTAACCTGTTGTTGCTGTCCCTCTGTCAACTCTCTCTGTTTTTCTGTGGTGTCAGGAAAAAGCACCAAGGGGAAGTGCCCTGTGATGCCCTCGCATGGATTCCTGGCCTGCTCCCTCCTGTCTGGTGCAGGGAGCATGAGCTGTGTCTCATGGTTTAAAGGGAGCACAGATCCTTCCTCCTGTGGGCTCTCTGGCAGCTGGAGAAAGGTACAGTTAAACACCAGGAGCTCACCCTATAACCCCACAGCCAACTGTTACCTGTGTGGCCATTTACCTGCAGTTCTTCACTCACCCTGTTCTCTCCAGGCCCTTGTGGCATTTCCCCTGGTTCAGTCTTGTTTCTGGTTTGAGACAGGCTTTTTGTGTGTGTTATTATTGCTAAAATGACTGTGACTCCAGAGAATTACAGAGCTTACGAGTTCTCCCTGCTCCTCCCCTATTTGCCGTCCTTTTTATGAATGCTTTGCCATAGGTTTTAAGGCCATCACATGTTTTCTCACTTGTTCCCTTAAATCACAGCTCTGTGCTGCTTCATCTTTGCCTCAGAAACCCTGTGGCTGCACTTCCCAAAGGGCTGTAAATTCTTCCTTGCTTTTTCTTCTGCTTGAGATTGGAAATACATTTTGCTTCTGATTTTGTGTGTCCGTTCCTACCAAAGTCTCTGCTGAAGAGATTTGGAGAAATTGGGTAAGACAGGACTGAGAAGGCACAACGCAGGAGATGTTGAGCTTGCCTCCCATTAAGTCTCCCGCTGCAGCCCTCTGGAATGGCACAGTTGTTGATTTGCATCTGGTCCCGAGGTGTCCAGACTTTGGGACGCCTGTTGAGCAGCAGGTGTGGCAGAGGTGCCGTGTCCTGGCTCACAATTGCACTGGCCACACGTCTGCCACCCTGGGGTTCAGGGCACAGACCTGATCAAACACTGTACAGCTGTGCCAAAGCAAAAGGAAATCTCTCATTTTTGTATTCTGGATCGGCAACCGGTGCTGAAGCGCCAACTGGCAGGAGATTCAAAGATCCAAACTCTTAATTCCCTCAGCGTTAAAACAGATTAGATTATTATTCTGGTTTGCACATCTGTCAGTCATTGCAGTCATGTTACACGAAAAACAGTCGGTTACAACAGAATCCTGAATATCTTATCAAGTGCTGCTGGCCTTCACGGTGCATGTCATTATTGGTGGAGTAGAAAACTGCAGATAATGAAATAATTTTTAATTATTTCTTCATAAATAAACAATTTATAAACTTGTTTGCTTTCTCACCATCTGGGAGCATTCTGTTCTCCATCTGCTTCATGTAATTATCAATGGTAAGGGAAGAATAGGTGATATAATTAACAAGAATAACTGATCCACGATGAAGAACAAAAATGTCACACATCTGTTGAATTATTTCCTTGTTTTTGCCCTTTTATTATTATTCATGCTATTGGTTTTATTATATTTTTATTTCATGGCTGCATTCAAGCTGTCAGGCTTTATTGCACAGTTTAGAATTGTTTTTTCTGCTCCAGCTCATAAAGAGACAGAACAGTTGCAGAAGCCCGTGAAGTGTTGTATAAATTTAGTTGGTACAGTGTGAGGTTGAAATAGAAAATGGAGGCCAAGGCACTGCAAACTCAACAGTTTCCAGTGCAGTGTGGAGGTATTTTTGTGTGTTTGTCTGACTCCATGATGATGCTGATGGTAAAGGCTATGAATAAATGGCCAGAGAGCAGTTTAAAATCACAATTAAAATAAGATCATGAGAAGAAAACACATCCTTGCTTTTTGATTCAACTTAGAACTTGTTCCATTGCAGTGTATATTCACAACTACATACTCAAATAACTTGTGAATGTAGGAGCCATCCTGGATGATACTCTGTTCTGTGAGCTTTTTATGTCCACTATAAAATTGCAGTACTTTAAAAGAGTATATGCTTACCATGTTTTGTAAAAAGTAAAGGAGGAATTAGCTATCAAGTAAAACAAAAAAAAAAATCTAAAACATTTTTGAACTTGACAGAGTTTCTCATGTGGGGAAGACTGTTTAAAAAATGGAAAGT